ATTACTCCTATATATGGAGTCTATTGACGGTTTCAATTATCTATCATTTATGTAGATCTTGTATTACTGATCATTATTTGTTGTTTACAGTTTCTGTCTATCGTCTGTGGTTTTCAATATAATAGCCAAAACCTTTAAACTTTGCACAACAAAATCGTCATTGAAAAACAATTACCCATAGTGCAAGAAGAGGAGATTTTTCGTTAAAATTTGCGGCGAACGTACCGCCAGGTGAAAACAAAATGCAGTGGGTAAAAGAGCCAGGAGAGCTACGAAGGTACATACATCAAGCCGATTGCCTAGAAAATACTACCGGTCCAACTTTGAACTCTCTTAATCAAAGGGGGATTTTAAGTATACTTCTCCAAAAGTTTTATTTAAATCATAGCGTTCATTACGAAAATTCAGGTTAACATCAGCGAACTCGGTATTGTCACTTTGATTGACTTTGCAGTGCAATGTTAACTTTACAGTATGGTTGACAATTCATTATCAGTAGCATTTTAGATGTGTATTTATAAAATATTAACTAGATTTGTCAAAATATTGTGTTCATAATAAACATTAAATATTGGGCTTACGTCCACTTAAAACAGTGGCGATCGTACAATGTGTAAATGTTAACCTTTTCAAATGAAATGAAATGCGCACGCAGATGCAATTTTAAACATGAAAAGGTTTAAAATCTACATCAATCCATCTGTTGGGTAAGATCATGTCTTCTTCCTCTTTGATTTTTCTTCCATTAAAGACAACCGTTTCATGATTAATATGTGCAGTAAAGATTTCTTAAATCCTTTGAAGCAGACTATAGCACTTAGTATTTCAAGAAAAGGTCTGAACGATTTCAGGAAAGGGAATACAACGATACCAGCTGCATTACGTAATCTTCTTAAGAGTATATATTTCAAAGAAAATGAGATTTTCTCGTTCATCTTTAAAAAAACAAACCACTTTGCATCATTTGCTTGATGTTTGTTTATTTCATTTTAAAAACGACTGTTGGACATTTTGTTTCTCTTAGCTACAACTGATAGACAATAGCATACATATAAGTTGTTTTACAGTTTTTCATGTCGGGGCCTTTTTTAGCTTGCTATGCGGTATTGGTTATGCTCATTGTTGAAGACCGTACGGTGACCTATAGTTGCTAACTTCCATTTCATTTGGTCTCTTGTCGGGGCCTTTTTTAGCTGCTATGCGGTATGGGTTTTGCTCATTGTTGAAAACCGTACAGTGACCTATAGTTGCTAACTTCCATTTCATTTGGTCTCTTATCGGGGCCTTTTTTAGCTTGCTATGCGGTATGGGTTTTGCTCATTGTTGAAGGCCGTACGGTGACCTATAGTTGCTAACTTCCATTTCATCTGGTCTCTTGTGGATATTTGTCCGATTGGGAATAATTTTATATGATATCATAACCATCCGAAAGAAAACTAAACTTCTTCATTACATATGTAAGGGTTGTTGTGGTGAGGTAAAATGACTTGAATCTAAAATTCTTTGGGGTTTTATTATTTTTATTTTAAGAGAACGGAAACCCATTAATTACGACACTCATACATTCTCGATAGTCAAATGTCGTTATTCTATTGTAAACAAGGCATAATTTTATGTTCCCTCCAAATCCATCTGATCTTTATGTTATCTTTAACTTGCACTCAAATTATGAATTTCGCCGAAAGCGATTAGCAAGACGACATTCGTTTTCTTTTTTTTTTTTTTATTTTCTTTATTTGGTGTGTGTGTGTGTAGTGTGTCGTACATGTAGACTCTTTTTCTTTTTTTTCTTTTTCTATTGTTTGTGTTTGTTTGTTGGTTGTTTTGTATTTCTGTATGTATGTGTATTTGTCGACTATTGTTCGTTTTACTCACTCATTCTGAGTATGGTACATTGTGTATTTACTTTATGCATCTGTGCCTAGGTTTCTTCAATTTGTTCATCATGTGAGATAATATAACAAACAAAAATTGAAAATACCCTTAAGATATTATCAATAGTTCGATGTCCTTTACATTATGCATTTTTCTGTGATCTTTTTATTGCAAATTTGTGATAGTTTGAAAACCGTTATTTTAATATTACTTGGTATAATTTTAATTTAAGCTTTTAATATGTTCCAAAGATATCATCGTTAAGGCTTTATTAACGGAAATTTTGTTTGCTAGATTAAGTACAATATATATTGATGATACTGATAACATTAACAAGTTAAAACATCATTTCTTTTTTACTATTTGACATTTATAAAGAGCAAACATTTTTCTATCAGTTTGAAAAAAAAGTTGTTTACTGATCAAAACCTCATTGCCAAATATGATTTAATCATAGGAAAAGACGCAAACATGTTTTTGTATGTATTAGCTGGAGCAGTAAGGTTAAAAAAGAATAAGTTGCAAATATTCTATGCATTTTCAAGTCAAGGGCAATTTAGAGATAAATCTAATAGTAAGCTCTGTAATGTGGGTCGAATGGGAAGAAGGACGAGACTGTCACTGGAAAAATGATATGTTGACACGGGAAGAAATTTAGCCATGCAAAACCAAACCTAGGACCCGTCACAGATGTTTGTATTGTCCTTAAACGTGCAGAGAAGCTAACACTTACCATGCCAAACATTCGGTTTTATCAAAATACGATACTAACTTATGTTTTCTTCTATTGCTGGTTCTGTAGTATCTGTGAATTTGTGTTTTTATTTAGGATAGACTGTCAGATATTTATTAACTTGACACTACTGTACGAGTCCGTACTTTCTGATCATAGGTATTAACAAATAATGATTCAACCCCGAGAGAGTATCTAAAAGGAAAAAGTGGCGAATTCTTTATATAATATAACTCATGTTGACACAAATTTTAAAAATAAACAGCTTCTCTGAAGTTTTCTGTGTATAATCTATTATTTTATCTTCTCGTCACATCAATCACTTTAAATGTATATAGATATTCGTGCCTTTTGAGCCTTGAAAATAAGAGACGTTATCTAAAATGATATCAAATGTATATTATAATTATATATAAGTTTGCATACATATAAGGTCATTTTCTTTTTTTTATGAGTAATGTCTTGATTTTGAAAAAAATCTTCTTTGATATATATGATATATCCGTTTAATGGTATAATATTAACTGAACACGGTGGTCTTATTTTGAGAGGAATGGCTTAATTACAACTAAACAAAATCACGATTCATATCTACAGTACATATATATTGCTTATGCTGATTAAAAGTGCAAAATGTAACATAATCGTAGTAACAGAATGTGAGCATACCTAATGGTTAGGGATTTATAATTGTGAAAATAAGTAACTAATGGTCTTCTGTTAACACATGCAAATATAAATAGCCTTTGTATAGAGCTTTAGAACATGCCATTTCTATCCGTTACGAAAAAACATTGTCGCTATAACTTTCGCACCACCAAACAAACAAATGAAAGAACTATAGCAAATTGCATCAATTGAAGAATTAGCGGGGCAAATAATAGCGTCGTAAAATGTAAGATACGATATACGAAAAATCCAAGTTTACATTGGGCAGACATATGTCGGAATATTAAAAAGATTATTGGATTTAAAAATTAAGTTCTTTATAGATTCTGTTTCCTTCCAAATGCAGGCAACATAAATGTTTTTTTTTTTTATTTTATTTTGGGTGATTAAAATCGAACCTGCGGATCATACATGAACATTGTATATATATAATGTATTAAAGTAGCTCATTTATACAGTACATATACAGTATAAGATTGATTTCTGTTTTCCAAAGATTGCAAGCATATACAGGTTGAGAATGAATCAACGAAAATCAATTTGGTAGGAAACATCGTCGACTTGGATGAAGATTTGGGAATTTGGACTACCACTGGAAAAAAGGTTTTGTTAAGTAGTGGTAGAAATTTTGCAATAGGTAACCTATTACCACCCCCCCGCCCCCCCCCCCCCCCCCCCCCCCCCTCATAAAAAAAATTACAAGGGTTATTTTACGTTTAAAGACCATGGAAATTTGCTAACTTGAGGCATCTTATTTAACTATCACATTCCGTCGTTAGGCTGCGTATTTAAACATCGTGTTCAGCAAAACGACTACTCCAATTTGGCAATTATTTTTAAAATCTTGATAGATTTTGCGAAAAAGAACGGGTAAAAAAAAAAACAAAGAATCGGATGCGATAATGGCTGGACGTGGTTGCGTATTAATACATCCCATATATTCAAACGGATGTCCCATCTTGACAAAATACAATGATATCTCTTCGGAAGTCCGTGTTACCAAGGTACGATTCCATGAGAGGTCCGTGATCAGTTACTAGGTAAATAAAATATTTGCCACTGAACGTTAAGCAAACAACAATCACCCAATCAATGAAACTTATTATTAATATGTAATAGTAATCTGTAAAAACTGTATGCATATGCTTATATATATGAAGTCTTAATCGTAGGCAACTTTCCTTAAAATTTCCTCAATAGTTATGCATTGATATGTATTTGGGCACAGATTTGATAAAAATATCACTGCTATACCGACAGTAACACACTAACTGTTAGTTTAGTTAGTGTTATATTATGTAAGAAATTCTCGGGATAAAACAAATAAGCTACACGTAATTTTGTCTTGAGATGATACATGTATGTGGTAAGACGTTCTGGAACGCTCAAAGTACGAGGAAGTTTATTTGGGTAAACGTGACGATCTGTACCGAATGACATTCTCGCCGTCAACACTATCAATATTGGGGTTGAATAAGGGTGAGCTACATGTAGCATATGTTATCCATTGATTATCCCCTATACTCAAATATCACCAATATATACGTGCCTTTATATTTGAAATGATGCTGTAACTTCGTTGTATAGATATATTTAAGTGTTTTTCTATGATATTTTAAAAAGTTGTTTATTATTTTTGATGCAAAAGAACGTCATGCATGCAACAATTTAAAATGCATCGATTTAATATCTTAGGCAGTTTTTACGTTTTAATCTAATAGTGATTAGGACAGGTTTACAGGTCCTCATATAAAAGCATAATATCGGCATCAACACATCATAACAGTTCTATATTTCCCAGTGGCAAACAATTCGTGAGTAAATTAATTCAGAAAAATGATATAGAACATATATCTTTATATATTTTATTTCTTGATGTAAATGTAATTCGTTGTTATTTTCTGAACGTCCAGTTGACAATATTTCAATAAATAACAATCAATATATTAATTTTAGTATAAAAATAAGAAGATGTGGTATGATTGCGAATGAGACAAAATTAATCTTCACCAGAAACAAAATGGCATATAAATAGACGTTAGTAACTATTAAAGGTCATTATATGGCCTTCCACAATGAGCAAATCCCCGAAATGACAAATATAAAACAATTCAAACGAGAAAACTAACGGCATGATTTATGTACCAAAACAATAAACGAAAAACTAATATGATATAAAGCAACAAACGACAACCATTGAGTTACACCCTCCTGACTTGGGACAGGAACATAAAGAATGGTAGGTTTTGGCCTATTAATGGAAAGAGAGTAAGGACACACAAATTGAACAGCAACTTTTCACCAAGGTATGGTAAGGAATTTGGCCTTACATCAGGTAATCTGCAGGTCGCTCATAATACTTACTGTGACACTTTTGGAGGGGGTACGGTCTTTATACATCCGGAACAAAAACCGACACCTCCCTGATCAAGGATTTTGATGCTACATGGAAGAAATTACTGTAGTAATAAATCTTTACTCCCGTGTGCTTCTTTAACTATAAAACAGATGTAACTGCTTAGCTAAATTAAAATTTTTGAATCCTCAACTTTTCCTTTTTTCAATTATTAGCTATGATACATTTCTTGTATTTAATCGAAATTGTCCAATAAGAAGAATTCGGCTTTACATTTAACTTACTCTATTCATGTGATTTAAATGTCATTACGTATGTAAAAGATGCATATCACAGTCATACTGTTTGATATACATTTAAATATTGGGAATTATCAAAGTGCTCTGACATCACAATAAGTTGACGGTTTGCAATAGGACTATATGAAACCATATATGTAAGTCAAAAGTTTACTTATTCTGCTCATTACTGTAACTCCAGAAAACAATACAAACAATTGCGAAAACATCGCAAAAATCAAACTTTCTTATTTTATATACGTCGAATCAAAATTAATTTATCGCTTTCAATTGATAGTAATCCTTCAACACTTTGTAATTATTTTACAGATTTGATGAAAGAACGTCTTTTTGTTTATTATTTTTTGGTGGAAGGGTAGGGTTCCCTTGTTTTGGTAGTATAATAGACGAAATAAGCGCACACACATTATTGTCCAAATAGAACAATTTTCTGTAGTTAGTTCATAATTAAGTTGAACGTCAGCTCTAGTTGGTAAACGACATATATTTATCCTTTCACGTAAAACAAACAGATGTTATCCATATATACTGATAGTGACAAACTGAAAACTTGATACCTATTAAATTGTCTGTATGAATGCAATCTCTACGAAAAATTTTGAAACGTTCAATATGACCGAAAAATCTTAATAAGATATCACAAAATTGTCTTAATTCGCATATATGCAATTGAATAAAATTTGTAAAATTCTTTTCATTTACAATACCGATCAATTAAAGAATTTTTGATATTTTATGATAAAATTGTAATTTTGCTTATATAGTCTTTTATTGCTGTATATCAAATTCGTTTTTCGTTCATTGTTTTGTTTTGCATATAAATCAGGCCGTTAGTTTTTCGTTTGAATTGTTTTACATTTATCATTTCGGGGCCTTTTTCGGGGTGTTTTCCTCATCGTTGAAGGCCAAACGGTGACTTATAGTTGTTAACTTCTATGGCATTTGGCCTTTGGTTGAGAGTTGTCGCATTGGCAATCATACCACATCTTTTTATTTTTATATTAAATTGCGTAGTATATTTTTAAATTGAATTGGTGAAGTCTGTTATACACAGAAAAGACCTTAAAACACTTTTTTTAAATGAAATGTACATCCAGTTTAAAAAAAAACATAGAATAATAAAGAAAATAAAAGGTCTAGGTCTGTGTTTTCAGATGATAGCAATATCATATATACCAAATGTTCTGCCGTATGTTCAATGTTTTAACAACTAATAAGCCTTAAACTTTAACATACTATTTCGATGATTATGGAGATCAGTCGTATGATGAATGGGTGTTACACTTTTTACTTACCTAAGTCATCTTTGTGCTATTTTCGTAACTTATTGAGTTAATTCTTGTACATTCTATAGTGCGCTTAATTTTAAAAATGACATAGTAATGAATCGATTTTAATTTCATTCACAACTTGTTCATGCAGAATAATTGACTTGATCTCAATGATTTATATATTTAAATGTATACATTCACTAGACACTGTATGGTATACCAACGAAAGAAATAGTATTCGGATAAGTTGTTGGCCTTTTTGTGCTTAAATATATATATATGACATTAAGTGCTCTGTGACCTATTAATTTCAAATTGAACTATTTATAAAATAACAAAAAAACAATCATATGTACTACTTCCCAGTATGTTCTTTTTGACCGGGTCCGATTTGGTGGTGTTACATCTTACAAAGTCTATCGAAATTATTTTGCAAAGAATTCCGCTCAAACCGGTGCTAGGAGCGTCTTAAACTTGTAGTGAGGTGAGGATTTATTTGCTCCATGTGAAGTCCTCACTGTGACTTTGATATGAAGAACAGCAATAAAAGCGCTGTTCCTTTGCTTTTTGTGAGTGTTTTTTGCTGTGCATGTACTGATTTCTTGTCATGGCTGGATACCCCATATCCTTTGTTTTTCTATTACCAAACATCCCACATTTACTTGTGTCACGGCTACATGGAGTTCAGTTAAATACTAAATCACCCATACTTTTACTTTTATCTCTATTGTCTCATCTACATGTAAATGATTGGCCTCTCAGTAAACTATTAAATATCCCATATTTACTTGTGTCTCGGCTACATGGTGTTGATATTTCAGTTGACTATTGAATATCCCATATGTGTTTGTGTCTCAGCTGTATAGTTATCAAAGTTCTCCCATATTTTTACTTGCGTAAATGATTGACATCTAAGTACTAAAATAAACTGTTTGTGTCTTAGCTGTATAGTTAACTGTGACATCTTAGTATACTTCTAAACATACTTTTGTCTCAGCTTGTGTCTCAACTACATGCTTGAAATCTCAGTTAAGTTCTAAATCTATAGTTTTATTTGCATCTCAGATACATATATATAGTTGAACACATTTCAGTAGATTCTTAAGCCTATATTTTACTTGTGTTTCGGTTAAGCACCTCTTGAATCTGTTGCTACGATATAAAAATTTGCTTCCGCAAATTTACAGATCTAACATTGTTGGGCTGTTGTTTAGACGAATTATATATATATATATATATATATATATCATTGAAGTGTAGTCAAATACATCTGTTTACTTTTATCGTAATTGTGTTTGTTCTTATCCAACTTGTTTGTGGAAACTGTACTACTTTTAAAATGCATAATGTGTGACGCGAGGTGTGACGCTATAAACATATTTTGCCACGTAATTTAGATAAATAACTGAAAGCAGTCTGACGTCTACAATTTTTATTTACACATACGGTATTTGTCAATGATTTAACGAAGTGCGAAATATTTAAAATAACTATTAATCTATGTAATTTTAACTTGTGATTTATAAAATATGGTTGATTTTGGTTGAAGCTTCATTTATTTTATTAAATACAGACAGAACACCCAATATAAATCGAAAAAGGAAACTTGTAACGACTATAGGAAAATTCAAAATTTCTTATTCAAAATTATAAATGAAGCATTTAGCCATTCATTAAAATGAGGAATGACAATTCAAGGTTAAATATATTTATTGTTATGAAAACGACTACGAGGTAGAGGACATTTCTGAGGTTAATTATCTAGTTCGGTTTAAAAGGGTTCATCTTGATTTTCCTCTAGTTTGCAGTGTTGTATTTTGTGCTTATTTATTTCAGATCACAAAGGTTCTTGAAAGTAATGGATAGTTATTTGTAAAAGTACTTTTTGCGGTTTTTGCTCAATTAATATGTGTAAATGATGAACACTAAAATAGAACAGCTCAGCAATGGTTGTAACATGAATTATAGCATGTTGAAGTTATGTTTGGTATTACATACTTCGACATATTCTGCCCTGTACTTGGCTCACAACCAGTAGCAACACTGCTTGATTATCTTATTCAATCATTCAATCAAATAATTAATGAGTGTATTATATCCTTGTCCTTCTGATCACATTGACGTATATGGCTGTCTAGGGTAATGTGATACTTTCCAATCGTATGCTGTTAATCTCATGCCATGAAACATGCTATACACAGTGACATTTGTTTCTTTCAATTTGATAATTTCGTTATTTTAAATAAAAATCAAATGGTTTTTTTCCCCTTTAGTCCTAACTTTTACAACTTTAGATTCAAAACGTTGTTCATCTTTCCAAAGTTTAAACAGAAGCTGAACTCTATTCCAATATAATGTAAAGTGTCGCTAGATTAACCAAGGAAGTATTATATTGACTTTCATGAATTAACAGATAATTAAGATTAGCACATATTTACAAAGCCCCTCGCTCGTTAGGGGACGACCATTTGATTTTTGGGGTGAGGTGTGGGAGGGCAGGATGATTTCGAATATGAATATCCTGGCCTGGTAAGAGCTGAAGTCTGAATGAAAATGAATACTCTGCAACAAAAAAACAGGAAACAGTTATGTACTAAAGTGAAAATGAATTTTAAACTGCGAAATATGGTTAGAACAAGGAATTATTTGAATCTGGAATAATTTTGAATTCTGAAGAAATGTTTGATGAAAACTAAACCAACTAAATAGGGATAGTCATGCGCACATGTCTAAAGTTCGGGTTACTTTCACTGATATTTCAGTATGAACTAACTAACCCCCTTTGCATGTGTGCATGGCTAACCCTCTTTACTTTGGTTAGTTTTCATCATACATTTCTTATCAATTTTCCAAAATTCAAAACTCTACCAGATTCAAATATTTCCTTTATTTAAGACCTTTTAAAATTGGCCTTTTGATCTATAAAAATGATTAAACAGTTCATTTCATATTTGATTGATGTATATTTCATATACTTGTAATTAGAGTTTTTAAAATCCTTGTACGATTACTAAGTTAGATATTTGTATTATTTTCTGTAAGTTAGTTGAAAAGTTTAATTAAATAGTTATGTTCAAAGAAAAAATACTACATTATTCAATTAATTATCTAATCAAATTATTATTTTGCAAAATATTCAAATTGCCTTTCCATGTCAGGAAATTTAAATACCTATTTTCTTTTTGTTATACATTGTAAATATTTCCATAAGCAAAATAATAATGCATGATATAATTATGTCTGAAAGTTACGGAAGCCCTGGAGCGTCATGCAAAAATAAAATTACAACTTGTGCGCACGAGTTACTATCTTGGTGATTGCTTTACATTGCTTAAATGGACAAATGTAGTAGCTGTTTTGTGTATGTTTAGTTGTTTCCTCCTACAGACATCTCGCGAGATCTGCTTCTTTTTTGTATTCATTCAATGCCTGATATGCGATACAATATGTAGATTTTTCAAGTTTGATTGTGTAATTTTATCTCTGACGTTTCTTTCGGTGTGCACTATCTCTAAGGAAGCTTGTTTTATCTGTTGTAATAGTTTTACTTGGTATATTATGACAGAATATTATCTACTTAAATGGCAAGGTCGAATTTGTATCCTTCGGCTGGTAATTTTTAAAGACATTTTTTTAATTTATTATTGATAAATCTTATATTCAGGCATATTACTTTTGTATAAATGGAACTTATCTGAAAGGTGCGTATATCAGTTTTCGTTTATTTGTTAATTCGAGATTGCGGCCGCATTGCAACTGAAAATAAGCTTTTTATGGTACGTGCATAATTGCATGGGATCATCAAGGTTGATTGATTGATTGATTGATTTCTTAAAATCCAGTGGCAAATATTTCATGCATATTCAAGATAAGAACGATTTAACAATATATCAAATAGTCGGTTCTTTAGAGTTTTTGACGGGAATGAAACGTAGAAAATTTTGAATGTCACTCAAAAATACGTGCAAGAGTGTTGCTCCCTTCAAGATTCATAAGGAGCGTGGCTCCATTCACGCGTCATATGATTAAAGTCTCATTTTTGATCGGGTCTAACTGCTTTATTACCCATCACGTACAGCCAAAGCGACACCTCCTCAATACGATACTTACTATCGGACGAGAGGTCAATCCTGTCAAATCTTGGGGTACGGGATTTTAAAGTGAATCAGTGAAAAAGACATATGTTGAAGTATTAACGGCATTGTTAAACTCACATTTATCAACGGAAGCGATGTCGATGCCAATGTAAACAAAGATGATTCTAATCAAGTGTTTAATGAACAGCCACACGGGATAACTTATGTGTTTTAAGCAAGTTCGTTTTCGGTAAGGACAAGTAACTGCAGAGTCTTTCTATTTACGATGTTTTCATTTTGTTTACAATGACAGTTAAATATCAGAATTTGACTTTGAAAATCTGAGAAATGTGGGTTTTTTTTCAATAAGATGTCTCCAGTTAACTATATTTATGAACCCATAATATATCTGATAAATCGTTAAAAAGTGTTTTGTCAGACTGTTGTCCGTTAAAATCTCCATGATTAATCGATTTAGAAGATAAGAAATGTATTCCATATCAAAAGTATGTTTTCTTATACGGTACGATTTTTCATTTGCTTATATTCTGAAGTAATGATCTATTCACTACTATATATATGTGGATGGTGTTTGTAAACAGGTCACATACATACACTCCGTCTGGTCGCTTAAAATGATACATTTATACGAAAAACAAAGTCCTAATACCATATTTCTCCCAACTTTGGTCGCATTTTGTACGTTAAAAAACAGTATAAAATATGTTATCATTTAACCTTGTAAATAAATTTTAATTGTATTTTGCCCAAAGTCATGTTTTTGTCTGAATTATTATGTGTATTTTGGCTATTTGTTTTTCAAGACAAGATAGAGAAGATTTTTGTAAAAGATAACATGGTTTAAGAAATCAGTACTTTTAAGGTATAGCATTTATTGTAATATTACCTGTAAAACATTTATTGTAATATTACCTGAACAATTGTGTGATACTCGTCACATTATATAACTTCTGTCTATCGACTAATGGAATAATGAAGATGTACTCCGCTCGGCATAGTTCTCTTACAGTATGTTAGTCATATGACAGTTAGGACCAAACAATTATATATCAGTGAAGACAGCTAGGAACTACCTTTATAAGTAGGAGTAATTATTGTATGTTTTCTTCTGTCGTATCACAAATGCCATATACCACATATGACGATGATAGAACACAGGAAAGTTTTCACCAATCAATATATTGATAGGCATTAATAGTTTCTCATTCATAAACTTAGATAGCTACTGTAAGGTAAGACATCATTTTACATGTGAAAATTGTCGGATTTGAATATTTAGTATTATTTGGTCTAATACCTTTTTTCTGGTTTGACATCGTGTAACATGGTTAATCTAGAGACATCTGTCATTAATTCTATATACAAAGCAAATAGATTGGACTTTTACCAGAGTTTTTGAAAATGTAGTTTTTAGCGGAAATGTGGGGTATGGGATGAATGTACTTAACACAGAAATATTCAAAGATAAACTGGGAAGTAAACATCCATTTATATACCCATTCGGTTGTATTGCTAATCTTCATGTTCTTGTGTTTTGTTTTCTAACAAAAAAGGTAACCAGCGTGGCATATATTCATTTATTTGTTAAATTAACATTACATACTAAAATATTAGAGTCGGGAAAGGTTATTATTTTATTAACTTAAATAATAATCATTTATATAAATGCGCCGCATCTGTTCAATAATATTTAATAATATCGTAAATTCTTTTAAACTTTAACAGTAGCTTTTCTTGTAAGTTCAAAATAAAAATAAATTTACTTGAAGATAAAAAGTCATCAATACATTGAAAATTTGTAATAGCATTGAAATACTTGGAATTTTGTGCAAATGATGCCTTTCAATATAACATGATTGACAATTTTCTCTGTCAAACGACCCCAGACCATGATGTATCCTGATGCGTTGATATGTACACGTAGTATCTGTACTAATTGATGAAGGAAATCATCTCATAGTTAACTAAATCCGATGAAATTCTGTAATCCAACATAGTAATATTTAATGATACTCAAAGGAATCATCAATGTCAACTCAAATCTGAAGCTTTCTCAAATTTTCAATTTAATGATGACTTTATATCAACAAGCACAATTATGTTTACGTTGATATTCCACGGGATAACATAGAATAGATTAATTCAATTTAATTATTGGTTTTAAATGAAATTCATTTGTGAATATTTGTTTGGCTTTTCACGTATTTACAGAAAATAACCGAGACGTAGTAAGGTATTGATATTCATGCTGGGTTTGTAATTCACATCTCATGGTTTATTATGGCTAGTCTCTAAATCACAAAATGATTTAGCAGCAAGTAATAGAGAAACTATTTGATTACTGAACAGACACAAAAATCATCAAGCAGATCAGACATACTTTTTGACAATGTTTTGTTATATTCAGGCTTTTCTTAGATATCCAAGGTAATAGAATTTTTCCTTTTTATTGATAGAAAATGTAGAGATTTAAATTCTATTTTGCAGACTGATTGTCAAGAGGTTTAGAAATTTCTCGAATAAAAAAGAATTTAAATAATTCAAACGGAAATAGCCATGTGATGGAATCAATGAAAGAAGTAAAGGAGTGGTTCTTACAAAAATGTCGTCTCCTACAAAATGGTAGCAACAACGAAAATATGCCAAATCCAAGTGAAAGTTTATTTCCTGGAGGAATGACCCCTAAAACAATTCCGGATTTCGTCATTCCAGGCTCTGGAGAAAGCTCAAGAAGACCTAGTTCAGAGCTTGGTTTGTTTGAAGATGACATATCATGCAGGTCAAGCTCACAACGAAGTAGTATTGGGTCATGCAGATCCAGCCCAAGAACCTCTATAAACGGTTCTATACCTGGACTTTCAGTGCCTAAAAATACTGATATATGTCGATCCGCCCCAGTTTCTCCAAAACATGAATCTAAGCCTATTATAGCGTACAACGACAATTCACAATCTATGGGATATTTAGAAAATATATCTTCTGAAACAAATGCTGATCCTCTATCGATAGCTGCCATGTCTCTACCCCATTTCCGTGCGAAAACTTCATTTGGGTTTACTACATTATCACAGAGTCCACATACTCGTCGAAAGGAGTCATTATTTCACACAGGAAGTGAAGGATTACTATCTCAAGGTGATAGAAATAGATTATCAGTTTTGGAAGCATTAAAAGTACGATGCAAGTCAGAAGTTCTGAACGATTTTGAAAAACTGGATTTTGAAGCCTTTCAAAAATCAAAAATGTCGTGTACGCCTTCTGTAGTTGTCACACCTTCTTCGAACGTGAATCGACCTAAATATGAACGATTATACGTCAGTCATCTTTCACCTTCACCAAGGTCAAATTGTCTGCAAGTACGTACTGGGAGAAAAGAGAAATATTTCAGACGTCGTTCATCTTTATTTGGGTTGGAAGACTCGCCGGTGTCATCAGAAGAATCCATACCAGAAAATGTTTCTTTAACCGACGACAATGGTCTCCCGACGTCGTGCCTTCAGCCTGGGAAAGTATCAGGTTCTCCTAATACTAAACGCCATTCTTCTCCTCAGCTACTTGAGGATGAACCATCTTCAGAAATGGAACAAAAACCGAGATCTAGTTCGTGTGGATCCTTGACAAAAAACCAAATTCCTAAAACCCAGTTTCTTGCAGAATATGGGGAACTTAAGTTTGCATTTCATTTCTTAGCAGCTTCAAGACTGTTCAAAGTTACAATAATCAAAGCTGAAAATCTTGGTGGTTTGACGAAAACAGAGTATAATATAAATTCATACTGCAAGGTATATCTGATGCCCGGAAAGATTCAAAAGCAGACAACGGACATGATAAAACATACCAAAAATCCAATATTCAGCCATGAGTTGACTTTTCATTCACTTACACTTGAGCAATTACATGCAATGGTTTTAAGGATAAAAATATTACATAAAGCACATAACCTGAAACTCCCAGAATTTCTTGGTCATGTAGACGTTAGTTTGGACAACTTTGATTTGATGACAGAAAATAGGATGTGGAAAGAAATTGATGGAAAAAAGGAGAGAGAGGTATTGTATATCTAAAATTATCTTTTTGAGAATCAAAGGAGATGAAGGGCATCTATCTATCAACAAGACATTAATACAGGTCAACATACGTTTATCATTACATGTCGTGTTAGAAAAAAAATTACTGCCATTATGAATGCTTAATTTAGAATAACCCTCTCAAATAACTTAAAATTCGGAATGTGTTGAGCCTCAAACGTGGGTGGTTCTATCCACTCACTAGTTCTGTATATTTTATATTTGTATGTGTATTATATTCCTATAACCACTTGCAACCATACCTTTGCGATATATTTACTTCCCATGAGAAAGGAACACAAAACTGTCACCAGACACCTAATGTCTTTTAAATGTTACATTCCTTGTTAGATTTTTTTCGCGATTTTGCATTGTTGAGCACAGTATGGTGACCACACGATGTTTTTCCTTAAGTATTGATTTTTTTTTTTATTATTCTGCTAATGCTCACCAAAGAATTAATGATCTATGAAGTTAGTGCTTTCGAAAGTCACGCCTAATGTTGTTCACATTCGGCTTGCTCCTAAAGATGTAGCCACTGTTGTAATATTATTAATTTCTTCTCGTCTTTTAAGAATTTTGTTTTATTATTTTTTGTTGAAGAAAGAACATAAATTGCGGAATTTAATCATGTCTTATTTGCTTGCTATTATTCTGTTGTTTCAGTTGTGTGTTATATGAAATATGTTTATCGATTTTATTTTGTTTAGAAAACATACAAAAAAATCTGATTTTATAAAGGTTTATCCCATTACCAACAAAACACCTTTGTTGAAAAGACAAAATCAATAACTGTCTTTTTATGACAGACATCTAATTGGATTAATAGTTTACACTTGTATATGTTGAATACTGATGTTTTATTCATTTATAGAAAGAAATTTATAAATTATTTGAATTCAAGTGTGATTACTTCTTTTATGCTATTAAGTATACCAGGGAAGATGATCTTCAAAGCAAAGAAACACTCAAGTTTTTTTTTCAGAAAATTTCTGTGAAAACCATTTAAACCTACTAAGAACTGATAATATGTTTGAAATATGATTATATGCGTTAAAATTGCATTGATATATTTTATAGCTTAAAGTTAGTGGAATATATAATTTAAGAAAGGGCATTAATTATTGTAAATGACCCATAAATTATACTTGTACAAAATGCAATATTTTACAGAAGTTTTTGTTATGATAAAACATTAGTAAGAATCGTATTTTTACATCGCGATGACCGTGAGGGCATTCCGATGTATTGTTGCCGACGAGATTTCTACTTACGTAACTTTCGTGTTTGACTGGTAACCGATCTATAAATACGCGGACATTATCGAGTGCAAAATAACATTCCTTATCGCTTGTTATAAATTCATTTCTTAAATGAATACTCATAAAATATTTTTGTTTAGAACATAAATTAATAATATGAAAATGTTTTGTCGTTAGAAATATATATATAAGTAAAAAATCATTGATATTATCTATGCACACGTACAGAAAAATTGTGTTAACGTATGCGGAAGAATATTTCAAGAACATTTTGCGGGAAAATATGAATGCCTGCTCAAATCCAATCTATTAGAAAATCATATTATTACAGAAGAGTGTCCATCATGCACTTGCACTGCACTATTATTAGAATAGTAAAATAGAATGATATACAAATGGATGAAAATTATATTTTATACATGTAACTGTTTTATACAAACATTAATATAATATATAACAACAAACCAGAGTATACTGATTTGTATCACTACAATATAATAGTTATTACGTTGACGTTGAATTCCCCGTCATTTATTCATTATCCACGCACGAACTTGTCTCAGAAAAAAATATATATCTGTACATTAAGCTCACTTTCAGGTATACAGATGTGATTTTTTTTTTCTGAGACAAGTGCTTGTGACCATCCACAAAAACTTGCGGTCATCAGATGTTCAGTACTTCAGTACTTTGATTAATAATATCGGTGGCTTTATCTATTTGTAAAATATTAGTATTAAAACTTTTCTGTTAAATCAGTATTCGAAAATAAATAGACGTATTATAAGCTCGAGAGAGATACAAAAAATAATGTTTGCACTAAATTAATTTGACACAGCTTATTCTTTGTATTGAATGACGTTCTTTTGAAAATTCTAATAACTTATCACTGTACCTTGTATTTGTTTCCATAAAAAAAAAAGTAGCTATGCAATTGTCCAAACAAGAAAATAAGATGCAACACGAAAGGAAACAAAATAAAAATAAGCTTGAAGTAAAAATACACATCTTAATCTTTAATGGTATGTTGAATGTACATAAGGTTTGTATTGTATTTATAGGATATTGGTAGTTTGGAAGTTTCATTGAATTTTTTGCCACGTGAAGGAAATTTGATAGTTGGAGTAAAGCAAGGAAAAGGGCTCCCTCATCACCAGATCACAGGACCACCAGGTGGGTACAGTAAAATACATGTACTTAAACTTCTTATTGTAGATGTTTTTGCCTGTCTGATAGACAAATGTGACATAACGACAAGATCTTACCATAAACAACACGATATATGTTTATCAGACCCGTTCTTGTATGATTGGAATATATATGACGTAACGGGGGGGGGGGGGGGGATTCAACAGTAACTAAGCTAAAATATCAGGGGGATTCAACAGTAACTAAGCTAAATTATCAACAAACAACAATAAATACCACGTTTTGACATACTGAGATTTAACAAGAGTAAGAAGTTGCCAGTGCTCCAAAGGATAAGCATATTTTACTAGGCGTGTGTCATTCGTATTGCTAAAACTAAGATGTTTTCTGTAAAGAGTTTACACATACTTAGCAATCAATGATGGCCAACACCATTCTAGTCTTTCATTTTTGTTGTTGTTTGGTTCTAAATAGCCAATAGCAAAAACTTGTAACCTTTCCGTTCTAAATAGCCAATGGGTTTTACTCATTGTTGAGGGTCGTACGGTGACCTATAGTTGTTAAGTTCTGTGTCATTTGGTCTCTTGTGGAGAGTTGTCTCATTGGCAATCATACCACATCTTTTTATTTTTATAATAGCTAAAACTTGTAACAATTCCCATTAAATATCGAATATAGATAAAATAAGTAAAAAGCGTTAATAAAAAGCAAATATTTAGTACAGGTTATCACATCAGTCAAATAATCAGAAAATCACCATATGGTCTTTCGGCGATGGGCAATATTCCCAAAACAAAGGGAAAGCTCTTAATGGGTTATTTAAACAGATGAGCCCTCGTTTCCTAGATATGCCGCCTTTGCAAAAACCTGTATTGCACGTTGACATATTGGTTGGGAAAGAAAGGGTATTTTGTGGACAAAATTGGGGGAAAACTTTAAATACTTGGATATACGTATAAGAACAATGAAGTTTTTGATGTTTTTCATCTTATTGGTTGTTTTGATTTTATTGATGACTATATTGTTGTTTTTATTAGTCGGATTATTACTTCCGCCCTGTAGATTTGGAAGTAAGGCACACTACAGATACCGTCGTTTTTGTGAGTGGATAAAAGCATGCAAACGTTTTAGTGAGTCATTAGCAATACTAATTCAAATTATCTAACAAAAATGTATGCTTTTTTTAACTATGCAAGTACATGTATACATTTGAGTACTTCAATTTCCTTTCTTTTACTAATAACTTGTATGAATGGTGGAATTGGGTAAAACATTGAAACTTATTAAGCCTTCCTTCTTGTAAAGTATCGGTATATCTTAAATATATAATACATAATTTCATATCTTAATTTCATTTATATAAAACTAATACACTCCTAACTAATTAATGTACTACCTCTTCAGACCCATATTCAAACTATTATATTTAACCATTAAATTATCCAGAAAGATGGCACTAGAAAAATACGAACTATGTACGTTATTTTCATGTTATTAATATAATAGGAGGAAATTAACGCTTGGTCTCTAATAACTGTTTATAGACTGAACATAAGTGGTCCATTTCTGATAAAATTGTATACTAATTAGTCTACCCCTATCAAAATCTAATCAGGTGTTAGGTAATCCAAGACTATCGTAGGTTGAGTGAACTATGGCCATTCTGATTATAGAATGATAGACGAGTGGACTGATTTGTTTGATTTTTTATGTGGCAATTTTCCCTTACGACAGATCAGAAAATGACCAATTAACTTTAGTTTTTACACTGGTATATAATTGGTAAATATGATAGGCATAGTTTCCCGAAACTGCATACTATGACGCAAAACAGTTAATTACAAGCCAGCGACTTATTTCACGAAAAATCTTACGAGAAAAAATACTCGTAAGTCATGGACAATTCAGTATGACTTACGATAAATTTTTGTCGTAAGATACTTTGTGAAAAGAGCGACTTTGGTGCTCAGGTCGTGATAGCTGATTTGTTCAACATGTAACCAAAAATTATCTCACTTCGTTTGAAGATTTTGTTCACTCACAACTGTTTTTTCCGTACCTTGACTATAATGACACATTAACCAAACATCAGAGCAATATCTTTATATCTATGAATTTTGCTCTCAACACTTTTGGTCTTTAATATCATATGCTCATATGCTTTTATGTTATTGCCTCCAAATACTCAGGCCTTGAAGAAGTCCAACAATATAAATAGCTTGTCAAACATGATGACGAATTAAACATATTAATACTACGCGCTGTATCAGTAACAGTGCAGCCTGTTTGTTGTGGCTTCGTTATTCCAAAGATCAACCATGTAAACTAGCGTATGAAAACATTTTTGTAAACTCTAGAGATGCTGCAACATTATGTTATTAACAATCAATTGTCTATTACGGTCTAGAGGGACCTCTTTAATTGCTCCTTTGTCTTTCGTAGGATATTATTTCTGTTTCAACATGACATTATGATATATCGTGGTATTTTAATATGCGTAAATGCCGAGGTCACAGAACTCTTAAATGTTGCTAGATTATAATGGTAATAAGAATCAATTTTATAGTTTTATAGAAATGAGAGATTAGTGCAAATAAAATGATTTTATTATCTAGAACTTGCTCTTTAAAGTAGATACATGGATTTACCTTCATTTGTAACCAAAAAGGTTGGAACAGCTAATTAGGGATTTAATTGCCGAACACCAGTAGTATTGAACCAGACTGGTTAACATTTGTTTCGCAGGTACCTGTATCACGAATATTCTAGAATATTACAGTTGTTATCAATTCATTCCATCTTTTTCGCAGATTGTAGTGTCTTTTCAATGTTGTCATTAATCTAAGGGTTTTGACATTAGGAAAGAGTACATCAGTATTATGTTTCGCAATCTGTCATGATTTGTGACGTAAATTTTGATGGATAATTTGCTTTTAAAATAACATAGGCCTCTTTACCTTTTGGTTATTTTTTTTTTATTTATTGCGCCCTATGTAATTACACCCTAATTATCCCAGCTTCTGTCCGAGTATGTTAATTTAGAAATGCGTATAGCAAATTCGGTACGTTTTGCTTAAATTTTGCATTGTATTTTCTTTACTGCCAAAAAAAGGAGGCGTAAGATATCAAAAGGACAACAAGAATTCATAAGTCGAAGAGAAACAACTGAGGCCAATTCGGAGTACTGGATAAACGGACATTCTAAAGACTTAATGATTAAATATTCAATGCCTCAGACAAACCACTTAATCATCCTCAAGACGTTCGTGTCAATGCCTGAATCTCGTGAGTTAAAACTAATTATTAGTCAATTCACTGGGATAGTACTCGGTAAGTACTTCAACGTCAGCGTGGTTCTATCTTGTATATTACAAGTGGGCTAGCTAATATTTCTTTCTCTAAAAAGGGGTACTCAATTAAGGGTAGAAGTGTATTATGACGAGAATATCTTTAGAATGTTTGCGTGATTGTAAATTAGTTTCTGCCATATACATAAACGTCAAAGTGATTTCAAAAGCATGTTTTCCGCCGTTAATGTACTTTCAAGTTGCATCCATTATCTGTTAAACTACATTCGGAACTGCAATTAAACAAACAATTTGGTATGAGACAGTATGACTTTTGAAAACAAAATTTTGTCTACCTTTTTTTTCAGGAAGGTTTACACTTAGCACATTTGCACGAGATCTATACAACACAGATTGAAACGTTTAAAGAATTGTATTTTTACAATTATCAATAGTAACTATGTGTATAATAAAACAGAACAATAAAACTGCGCTTCAGCTGTTGAATTACCTGCTCTTGGGGCGATTTGTATACTGAAAATATTCCAAAGCTCTATCAAATTTAAAAGTCAATGTAAGCCCCTCTTCTCGTGTCATAGTATAAAACATTTGACTTCAAAGTTCTTTAAACAAGTGTTCCTTATCTCTAAACTTAAAGATATACTAAAAGGATAAGTAAGTTTAACTTTGTTTCATCAAAAAAGGATGGTTAACGTAGACACAAATATCTTGTTTTAGGAAGGGTCTTAGAATGTAAAGATACAATATTTGTTACGTTTTATTGACGTGTTTTCCAAGAGACAGTCGTCAGAAAAAAAAACCATCTGTACTACTCTTCTATTTGACTTTTTACTTTGTTCGCATGAGGCCGATTTATATAGGGACTTCTTAAGAACGAAAATTAGCTCACAATATCCTTAAACTTCAACTATATAGACTATGGCGTGTCATTGAATGGTTTAAAATTAGATGGCTATGTTGAACTTGAAATAAAGGATCATACTTTAGATACAATGAGATCATCTAAGTATTTTATCTGACACCAGTGCTAGTAATTGACGCTGATGATCGGTTGAAAACAAAAACTTTACGTCAAAACATATGACTTAAATGTTTCCATTATGAACTTATTATTTGAATGTTGTTTCATTCCAACAACACAACAAGACCCTGCGCACCGATATATGTAATAATCAAACTGTAACACGACTGCCAACACTACTTTGAACATTATTTATGCGAAATATTTTTGGTATTACCATACCGGTGATGTTTTGTTCACAGCTTTTTACTGGTATCAACGCAAAAGACGGGTCAAGTTATAGTAATTGTTTCCTAAGTTACAGGAATGTAACAGTATTTTGTATAATGATGCATTGTTGTTGATGGCATGTATTGTTTTGAGCAGTTTTGTATATTGTTCATTTATCACGTTTTATTTTTGTTTTGTTTTTTTTTTTTTGGGGGGGGGGGGGGAGAGGGTCGGAGGCATTTTTTTTATCATTTTGTTATTTGTTGTTAAATGTTAGGTACGCGTTTTTGGAGCTCATTACGTTTTGTGCTCTTTGTTTTTTCATTTTTTTATTATATGATTCTGTTTTATAATCTTCTAGTTCTTCGTGGTGAGACCTTAAAGAATTTTGTTTGATAAGTACTAATTACTAGTTTGCACTCCAGTCACCCTAACAAACTATACAAATACCTGTATATGCCCACCCACCCACTGGACGCACTTGTGGAATATTACGTCACCGGCTCTCCTACAAGTAACAGCTTAATATGATTCCTTTATTTTAAATCACTAAAGCCTTTGGAAATACCGTATGATAGCAAAAAATAGGCAGAAGTCCAATGAAGTACGGAGCACTAATCGGCTTTCCCGAAGAATGATATTAAGTTGTATAAACTGTGTCGACTTACCTTGAGGCTATTCGATGAATTTAATGGAAACATGTCCTTGCGCGTGACGTAGTTTTCCAGTCATGTGTAGTCTTGCTGAAGGGCGTCCGTTTTGACTGTTTAAATAAACAGCCACATATGACTGTCCAACTAGTGGCAGGTTTGACGCAATGTAAAACTTGGTTCAAACCGCCACTTTCATTCAATAGTGACAGTAGCAAGTAAGGGAAATGACAGAGAATCTATTATTGTTAAAAGGATATTAAATAGTCTGTTTGACGAAATTTTCCTAAACCTTAGCAGTTTATATGGACTTATCTTTAAGATCTTATTTTGAAGTTTATTACATTATACATTATTACTCTTTCTCTAATTGTCTTACTTACATTCATGATTTAAAATACAACAGAATTTTTAGCCAATAATATTGACTTTCCTGCAGGCAGGCTTACAAGTCAAAGGGTGATCCTACGAACTTTTTATGGAAACATGATGAAAAACATTCTTATTTCATACCGCTAGCAACAACGATTTGATAAGCTCAGAATTTCTGCAATTAATATGATTAATATTTAATGCATTCATTTTATTTGCATTGATGGCAATTTTTATGGATTTAAATCCTAAAATGCACTTATTTCCGTCTTATATGGCATGTAAAATCATGGTTGATCTGGCTATAGCCTTTTATCCCTTTGTAGTTTGTCTTCCTTCTTTTGTATGGCTTCAAATATATTTCATATGGGATAAATGATTGAAGAAAAAATCTCAATGTTACGAATTTGTTTTGCATAGTATACCTGAAGGTACCATATGTATGTCATTTTTTAAATCCCATGCCCAAATATTAAGTTAACATACACTCACGAAGGGGAAACTGCACTAACTGCAAATGGACGGAACAGGGTATGTGCCTACCACTTTGTTTTCAAATCGACCGTCATTCAATTATTAAAGTCGTATTCAGTTCAAAACACAGGTTTTTTTTCAAACCTAGTACCACAACAAAAGATAAGTTCTTTTTTCACCATCATCGCATTTCTTATTACAATACATCTGATCATGTTTCAGTATTGACATCATTGCTGATGTGCTGCGTTATAAATGAGAGTTGAAAGATACCAAACTAAAATCATTTTATTAGACCCTGATACTCTGTCATCTTCAGCATATTCATTTACAAGGGGTCGCATCCTAACAGTTCATTGAACTACCATTTTCACAAGCATTTTAAATAAGTGCTACCTACGGTTAAGACAGTTATGCCTTTATAGATGTTAAGTTTTATCATTACCTGTCTACGCTTGAACCCTAATAATTTAACAAGCCAGGAATTTGTAGTTCTTAACTGTATACATTCTTGTTACCAATACCTTATGGATATTTTCTTAGTTTACGTAAAGTATCAGACGTAATCAGATAAATGGGAATTGTTCGTGACAACTTTCGCAAAACAACCTGATTAGACATCTAACACATAGATCTCTGTACCTAGACAAAGTATGAAATTACTAGAAAATTGATACTGAATCCATATCAAAGAAAAACTCAACAGTTATTTCCGATCTTTTTTTATCTTTAAAGGAAACACCATTTAGGCAAAACAGACATTTTAACATTTTTTTTTTTCTTTTTACATGATTACAGCGCGAATGGTAATTATTAAGCACAAGAAACATTTTAATTCACCTTTCTTATTCTAGCCTTTTTGATTCGAGCGCCACTGATGATTTTTATGGACACGATCTTTGATGACGGTTTTTACAACCACTGGGTTGATGACACTCCTGGTGGACGTTTCGTCCGTGTGGGTATCACCAGTCCAGTAGTCAGCACTCATATATAGGCATAACATATCATTGATAGTCTAATTATATAAACTTACTCTTCATGATAATTAATGTTTACTGTTAAGGAATATCTGTGTCACGTTCACAATTTTCGTAGCCACCATCCCGTGTTTTTCCTCGATTATCATACCTCTGAATGTGACTTATTACCGAATTCTTACTTACCATGATCAATACAATACGTGCTACTGTAGAGCAGGAACTGTTTACCTTTCCGGATCCCCAGATCTCTCTCCTGTTTTGGTGGTGTTCGAGTTGCTCAGATTATAGTTTTGTAGTGTTTTGTAGAATTGTTTAGCTATTAAAGTCGTTTTCTTGTTGGCCATGACACTGTCTGTTTTTCTTCGACTTATGACTTTGAAGTGTCCCTTGGTATCTTCTGCATTCTTTCCTCTTATGACACTTATGTTGTCGAAAAGCGCGTCTTCAACGTACTAAATCATAAGCCGGGTGTCGTTGGTGAGTTGACTTAACTGCACGACTTGCCGAAAAGAATAAGTTCGTGAAAAGAAATGTTCCCATACTCAGAATACTAGTACTAGAAATGAAGAGAAAAAAGCCGTTTGTAATATCTTTTGTTTCTCTTTTATGCAATGTTCAGTATTGAATTGGTAATTTGAAGTTATATTAACAATGATGGTGTCAGTTGGAAATCGAATTACGCATCTGCAAACTTTTTTACAAATTTGTATTAAAAATATATGTATTTAGCGTAACACACACAAAAACACAAAGTACAACTGAATTTATTTTCGGGTGTTTTATTATTCAATTTGTTTTAAAGAATAGTTTCAAATACAATTCTTGACAAAAATTGTGTATGTAAGAAATATTCTGATTATACTGAAGAGTCTTGAATTAAAGAAATGAACCTGGATGAACAGTGTATTCATACATTCTAAGTTTATGAATTACAAACTAACTTTTAAATCAAGAAATAATAAGACAAACAATTAATTGAATGAAAACGAAAAACCAATTTTGAGCAAGAAAAAAGTAAAATTTTTGCTCATAAAATGATTTAACATTGTAGTGTTTTATATATATCTAGACTATATTTCATTTTCAGATCCCTATGTCAAGGTAGAGCTCAGCCAACCAAACCGGTCAGTTTCAAGAAAACAGACGAAAACAAAGAAAAACACATCCGATCCGATTTACGATGAAACATTCAATTTTTCAATATCGCCGAAAATGGATGATCTTGCCTATACAACACTTACAATTGCCACTTACGATCATGAAAAACTGAGAAGTGACGAATTGATTGGACAAATAAAATTTGGTGTTGGTGCTGTTCAAGAAGGTGAAATAGACATGTGGGAAAAATGTATAAACTCACCAGGGGTAGAAATTTCAGAATGGTTGTTTCTGATGGACAATGATGATATAAAATAAGAAGAAAGGTTTTTCACCGAAGTGTCTGTTTTGTTTTTTAAACAAGTTGGTGCTATTTGTATTCTTTGATTATTTTACGCTGCATATCATTATACAATTTTCCGTGTGTTTACGCTTTAAAAAGACCTGCATGTTTGAAAGGAAATTCATGATCATGCGAAACACTTTTTTGTTCACAAAAGCTTCATCCACAAATTATTTATTATGTTTTTTTCAACAGCTATAAATGTTTTATAATTTCTGATAAAATAAAAGAAATACGAAGTTCACGTATTGAAATTTTATTAGGCTGTATAATAGCTGATCATATTAATTCAGGTAAAACATTGTGTCATGTTAAAAATATAGTGTATATATCCGTAAATTATTTGATCTAAAACAACTAACTACTAGCAACAGTACAGGGAGGATTTATGTGGTGCATGACTGGCACACGCCCTCCCCACATAGACTGCAGATACATTGGTTGCACGTACAAGAAAGAAAGAGAAGAAAAGGAAAAAAAACAACACTCATCCTGAAATATCCGAAGCTTTCGGTAGCTCCACCCTCCTCTGGTCTATTTTAGGACATTGTATTTGACTCTCCGGGTTTTAGACGGATAAAGACCCCTCACCTATGCTTCACGTCTCCTTCAGAACGCAAAATCTTGGACCCGCCCCTAACGACCTCAGGAAAGTTAACTATCACCAGAAGCCTTTTTGCCTTTGTCGGTGGTTGAATTATGACTACGGGTTTAACGTGTTGGCCACACACAAAAATGAGACATGTCGGCCATGAACATAGAGATATATAAAACAATAGTTATATATGAACAATTCAGACAAAATCAGGCAGAATAAACGTGGAAAAACATAGATGTACAATGGAACAGTTCACATACACAGAACGATTGAACTAAAAGTCACGGTACTCAAACACACAAAGATTCAGCAAAAAAAAGTACAAAAACCCGGAGAGATTGAACCAAACGAAGCGGTACACAAACAAGGATTCATTATGATTAAGGCAAAAGTAACAGTAGACAAACACGGCAAGGTAAGGCACAAAGAAACAGCTCACAAATAAGGTTAATTGAGCTAAAAGAAATAGTACACAAACATGGAAAGTTTTAGTCAAAAATATCATAAATACAAAAAAAGATCGAACTGAAAGAAACAAGATACAGAAACATTACAAGAATGAGCTAAAAGAAACAGAACACAGAAAAATTTAGCAAAACAGGACCGAAAAACCTTTCGTTTGGAATTTAGTAGTTAACTTAAAATATTACTGCGAATATTGAAACATTATCATATACTGACGGACTTTAAAAACGCAACACGAAATTATTTTTTTTAATTCTCTTTTTCAAATACTGTATGCAATTCTTGTAACATAAATGTATAAACATAAATTTTATTCATTTCTTTATTGTCTAAATTGAGCTTGCAGTTCAAAAATGTTGAATTGATTACGTCATGTTTAATGTTCAAATCAAGTGGTATAAGTGGTGAAACCCTTGCTTTCCCCTTATGAATGGATGTGTCACCGTCAAAGGCAATGACTGCCTGTAACCAACGCCTAAATGATTGACAGAAAAGTGAACAAGTTCTGTTGGGCATGTTTTCAGTTCTGTTTTGTTCCTTCTGATTTGGCCTTTGTCCTACCAATTGCAGTGTGTTTTGGCAATTTTGCGGTTTAAACTTTAGGACTTACAATTTTTTTTTCTGCAGTCGATTATTTGGCATTTCAGTATATGGGAAACATTTATGGCGTGAATCTGTCTGTCATGGCATTCGATTCTTAATTAGCAGTTGACGTTGCGGCCGTAAACATGTCTCGCAAATTACATTGCATAGTCAAAATTGACTTGGCGTTGTCACAACATATTGATCTGGTCATGGTTGGTCATCAAATAAACACCCATCTGCCTTTACCGTTGTTGTAAGGACAGTAAGAAGAGTGTCTGACGTGAAATTGTTTAGGCTAAGCAACAGCACGTTTACGTATTCCTGCTTGCAATATTCATATGGCCTGATTCAGATTCTCATTGATCATTCCCAGTAATTTGGAAATGCACCATATTTTTTTAACTAATTTAAGTGTGGGCATGGATTGAAAGAATTGTTTCACGAAGAAAAAGCCCTTCAAAAATCATTAATGGGTTTCAAATATCGCTTTAAGAAATTCGTGCGACTTCAATAATCCGGTATGTTGAATTACTTCAGGTAAGTGATGTATTGATTTTTCTAAACAAAAAGAAGTACGATAAGCATAAATAGTAGTTATATGAGGATCAATCATGATTTGGTAAAATGAATGTGTGATGCGTTTTTGAAGTCCATCAGTATATAATCAGGAAAAACAGCACGCATCAACCAAGCAATTTGTGACTAAAACAAAAATGTCAATAAATAAAATTGAAATCAGAGAAACAAATGAAACTCTGAAATATAATGATAATGGAATAAACATATAAAAGACCAGTTATTGAAAGCATATTCTAAGTACTCGTCTGAACCTTCTGATTATGAAATCAAATCTTCTCACATCTTGATATTGTACGAGAAGTATTATTTAGCTCAATGTGCATATTAGACTATTGATTAAATTATCATTTTCATTCTTCATTACAAAATCTATAATCGACCAAAAATATAAGATTCAAAGATTTAAAAACAGTTAAGTGAGCTTTTTCTATAAGTTTATTCACCGAAATAATAAATATCCAGGTACACTCATAAACCGTTTTGCTTTGTTATATGGAAAGCCTCAGCTGTCACATATTAGAGATTTACAAAACGTTATGCTGAAGCTTAAAATGTAAATTTAAGACAGCGTGATGTTGAATTGAGTCATCAAAATGCTAACTCTAAATTACAATTTGCTAAGTTGAATTTGCGCAATGTTGACTTGCAATGACAAGTGCTTTAATCGTGATAGTATAATGATAAGTCACGATGTTGTGATGATATGCCAAACACACGTAACGTTGGGTTTAAAGTACATGATGTGAAGTTGACGTTGCATGATGTTAGCTTGCAGATGGACACTGCTCAGTCATCCACTTCGATAGCTATGATAACAAATAAAATGAATAGCTAAACTGTATGGTGCTGACTTGTTATTAATAAATGTTGAGCTGAGATAGTACGATGTTATATCATTGTGATATTACGATAGGTCTATCATGCAATCTGTTGATTTAAAACACCATGATGCACAGTTGAAAGTACATGATGTTAAGTTAAGATAACACGATGCTATACCACTATATTGAAACGAAAGGCTTACCATACAATTTGTTGACTTAAAACAACACGATGCATCGTGTTAAGCTAAGATGCTCACTTGAAACTACACGACGTACAGCTGAAATTTTGTAATGTTAAGCTACGATAGCACGATGTTATATCATTATAATGTCACAATAGGCTTGTTCTACAATTTGCTCATTTAAAACTACACAACGTACAGTTGAAAGTACGTGATGTTAAGCTAAGATGGTACGTTGTTATATCATTAGAATGTCACGATAGGCTTACCACACGATATGCTCGTTTAAAACTACATGACGTACAGTTGAAAGTACGTGATGTTGAGCTATGATAGTAATATCTTATATCATAATAATATCACGATAGGCTTGCCACACAATATGCTCATTTAAAACTACACGACGTACAGTTGAAAATACGTGTTGTTCAGCTAAGACAGCACGATATTATATCATTATAATGTCACGATAGGCTTATTATACAATTCGCTCATTTAAAATTACACCACGTACAGCTGAAAGTACGTGATGTTAAGCTAAGACAGCACGTTGTTATATCATTAGAATGTCACGATAGGCTTACCACACGATATGCTCATTTAAAACTACATGATTTTCAGTTGAAACTAGGTGATGTTAAGCTAAGATAGCATGTTGTTATATCATTTGAATGTCACGATAGGCTTACCATACAATATGCTCATTTAGAACTACACAATGTACAGTTGAAAGTATGTGATGTTGAGCTATGATAGCACGATGTTATATCATAATGATATCACGATAGGCTTGCCATACAATATGCTCATTCAAAACTACACGACGTACAGTTGAAAGGACGTGTTGTTGAGCTAAGATAGCACGATGTTATCTCATTATGACGTCACGAGAGGATTATCATACAATGTGTTGACTTGAAACTACACGATGTAAATTTGAAGTAGTTTGGTCTTGACTTGAAACAGTAAAATGTTAAGTTATAAAAACAGAACGTAAAGTCAAAATAAAACAATGATAGGATGACATACTCTTGTGCAGAATTGAAGATTTTTGGTGTTGACTTCGAATATAGTACAAATATTACATCGTTTTATGTTAAATTGAAAGACAATAACGATGCGTAAAACATTACAGAATTATTTGAATTGAAACTGCAATTCTATGGAAAAGAATGAGGGACAAATCCCCAGGATTTTTCTTCTTCATTTGCAAGTTGATGAATATTAATGTAATTTAACTCCGGAGGCAAAATGATATACAAAGAAAGTTTTCCATAAATTCATAAATCAAAAGAATTACCCATCGCCATATATTACACTTGAATACAGTTTTGCCGTATATTTTACATGTTTTGTTTGGATTTTTTTTTATGATTAAACCAAACTTTTTTTTTGAACAATATTTAAGAAAATATTTATCTATTTTGTGTGTTAATATATACAACATAATATTGTGCTTATAAGACTTATGACTGTGAGGGTCAAATTTTACTCATATAAAATCACATCTATGTAAGAGTTGGCGGAGAATTTGTATTTACCACTCCCGTTTTCCACGAAATAGAACATAAGAATCTGGAGTCTTAATCTTAAAAAAACAAAGATCAACTGATATGACAAATAATACGCTTAGCGTAGGACTGAGAGGGTCAGAGCTATATCAGAATGTGACCTCCCCCCCTGGTCATGTTAGAGGTATCTGAAAATTTGAATTTTCTTTTCCACGAAATAAAACTAAAGAATCTGGACTTAATCAAAAGCGATGCGATTACGATTTCCATAGAATGCCAGAGACAGTTTGTCGACTAGTTCGTTGAAAATTCGGCTAGGCAAGTAAAGTGTGTCTTGTAACAAAGCAGGGTTTATTCATATTCATATCACACTTACATGTTCTCGTCCTGATATGCATGTAATATTTGCCACTGTATGTAAAAGGCACCTCTTTTCCCCGAAATAAAACCAAAACATCTGGACTTAATCAAAACCCATGCTATTTGGATTTCCATAGATT